CCACCCATCCATCCATCATCCATCCATCCATCCATCCATCCATCCATCCATCCATCCATCCATCATCACATCTACCTATCAGTCCACCCAGACAGTCATCCACTTATCCATCCGGTTACCTCTTCAAGTCTTCATTCTCTATGTGTTTATTTATCCAACCATCAGACAATTTACTGTTTTACCTTCCAGTAAGTTATTCATTCATTCATTTATTTATATGCCAATCCACACAGCAACCCATCACATATTCATCCATCAGCCAGTTAAGAGACTGATAAACAAACAAGACAAGGGGGAAGGCCCGCAGCCCTAAAAACAAAACAAAACAAAACAGCTCTAGGCTCCTTACCCCTTGGGTCTAAAGATTGGTCTGAGCGGCTACAACAAAAGGAGGGAGAGTAAGCTGAAAGTGGGCTTGGAGTCTTTCATGACCTACGAGTTCATTTCCAAGACATGGAAAGTGGACATCTGACGATGCACCGGGTCTTATGCTGGCCTTACCTATGGGCATCTCATCCATGGATGTTCGAGCACTGAGACTGGCCCCGTGGGACACCAAGAGCTCGGCCATTTGCATCTGAAACACAAGAAGCAGCCGTGTCCCCCCCGTCCAGGGTCCAGAAAGTCTAGAAGGTGGAGAAAGTGGCCAAGGCCTCTCGGGATATAACCCAAAGAATGGCGGGGCAGAGTTGATTCCCAGGGAAGGTCCTACAGCCTGGAGCCCAGGGGTCAACTCTGGCAGCTGGAATGGCCTTCACGAGGCGTGGCAGCTCCTTCCGGAATGCTGAAGCCATGTCAAGTGGCTGGGAAAGGAGTCAGCCATGAGTCTACAGGTGCTAGAAGACTGGGGGAGGCTACAATCAAGGGTGTTCTCTCCGGGGAAGAAAGGAGGAGCCACTCAATGCAGAATCACTGGTTGGTTTCCAGTTTTCTCAGCTGGACTAGCATCCCATCGGGACATAACCTATCGAGACTTTTTGCCAGCTAGGCCTTTTCAAATCCCACATACTAAACACAGTCAGCACCTTCAGTGGTTCCTGTGCTTCTCTCGAACTCACTGGCAGCCCCAGAGACTTGGGGACAGCAAGTTGACCCTGTCCTGGTCGGCCCTACAGCACTGTGGGTGGGAACTACCTGTCCCCAGAAGGCAGCTGCGTGCAGGGGCTCCCAGCCGTCCCAGTCCTTCACATCCACCCGCACACCATGGTCCAGCAAGAGCTCCGCTGCCCGCAGGTATCCGTTCGCCCCAGCTATGTGCAGCTGGAGGAGAAGAAAGAGGTGAGTGTTTCCTGGGGGGCTGACTTCACACTTGGAGGCTGGATATTCTTCTCCCCCCTCCAATACCAGAGCACTCTTGGAGCCAGGAGAGAATGAGGTGGCGATTCCAGCCACACTCTAGGGAATGGCTATGTCTGAAGTATGGGCCTACGTGGGGAAAGAGAGAGGTGAGTTCTTCTCTCCTGTGGCTGGTTGTAGGGCCCGTGCGGTTAAGGCAACAGGATTTGGGAAAGGAGGAAGATAGAAACAGAAGAAAGACAGGAAGGGAAGAAGGAAGAAAGGGGCTACCAAGGAATGGCAGGTGGATGATGGATGCATGGACGGATAGATGGACAGACTGGTGGGTGGATAAACAGACAGGCGGGCAGGCAGACTGATGGACAGATCAATGGATGAACCGGTAGATGGGTGGTGACAGGGGTGTCTGGCCTCTGAAGTCAGGTCACCCAGAGGAGAGGCTAGGGAAGCAAAGTCAACAGGAGCTGATGCGGCCGTCAGAGCTGTGGGAGGGGGCACTGAGGCAGGGAGCTGACAGTGCAAAGCACGGTGGCGTGGCGGGTGGTTGACTGGTGTGCTGGGCTGGAGGAGGGAGATGATGGACTCAGAGTGGAGCCCTGGAGCCTGGAGGAGGAGAAACCCGGAGAAGGAACAGGTAGATGGGAAGGCCGCACCTCCGCCCGCCCAGCCTTCCTGACCCAGCCCTAGCTATGAGTGGCTAGATGCTCAGAAACAGGTCCCTGTTCCACCCCATTTTGGGGTCACCCTAGCCCCCCAAGGGGCCCTAGACCACAGACAGGCCCTAGCTGTCTGTGCAGGTTGGGTCCTGGAGCACTGGCCTCCATACTAGTGCCCCCAGCCCACACCCGCCTGGCCGCCTCCTCACCAGTGTGGCACCCTGGCCATCTATCCAGTCAAGGTCCTGGCCAGCCGCGATCATGCAGTGGATGTCCCCAATCATCTGCTGCTCGGGGGCTGATCGCATCTCGTTGATTTTCTCTTGGGTGATGCCTGCGACAGAGAAAGGAAGGCTTATTCACCCTCCTGGAGGCAGCCCCAAGGAGGTGGGGAGAACAGAGAGTGGGAGGGGCCGTAGTTATAACACTCCTGTCTCCCGGAGTCTGCCAATCAAAGGTCCAGAAAGAGGAGCCCACAGGTCACCGTGCCCTCAGCCTGATGAACACAAACACTACACACTGGCACACGGGACGAGGGCCCTTCTGCTGGGCACCCAGTGGCCCTGCGCTCCTATCAGTCACTCAGGGGCCTGATGTTCCTCTATCCCTGCCACGTACTTGCTTAAAGGTCTCAAGCTCTGGGCCCCAGCCAGAATCACCCCACCCAGGGCACACTCTGAGCACCCCTTCTTCCCAAGGTCTCCCACTTGGCAAATGTTGGTGTGTCTCGGTGTCAAATTGTTGGCCCCGCTCCTCACCAGACTGCGCATGCTCCAGGAGGCTGGCAAGTGAGTTTGTTTTGGCTTGGTTCCCCATCATGCAAGTCTCAAGACCCGCAGTAGCGGAAGCTGTGCCCATGGTTCCAGCGCCGACAAGAGACCATGGCTATGTCCCCAGCGAAGGCCTGATTGTGCTGAGCGTGGGTGCAGTTCCACAGCACCCGTTTGAAAGGCACGCTGGGTCTCGGAGCAGGCCTCTGGCAGGGAGGCCGCTCTCACTGGGGCACTACGAACGGCTCAACAGCTCTGGGCTTGTTGATCTGGGCCCTGGCAGCCAGCGTGGCGGCTGGCACAGAGCGGGCGCGCCAAATGTTCTCGGTTTTGTATCAATTTCCCAAATGAGGCACTATTTTTATTGTGCGTGTTTACCGAGTCAGCTTGCGACAGCTGATGAAGAGGCGCGCAGGCCAGCTGAGGCTGCCTGTAACGCCAGGGACACAAAGGACACCTCCCTCTGAGGGGCGGGGCCAGGCCGGACTGGGCGGGGCGCTGTGCCGCTGGGTCGTCCTCCTCGGGACGGTCAGTCTGGCCGCTAACACCGTTTGTGGGGCAAGCAGCTAGCTACTCTGTAAGTGAGACCCGTCGAAGCCCAGGCGGTGCCCCCTCGGCCCTTGGCCACCCTTACCCTGGTAAGCCATGCAAGTCTCGATGACATCCAGGGTGGGCTCATCCTCGCAGAGGTCGTATGGCATGTTCCCGTCCGAGTTGACTGCGAGCAGGTCCGCCCCGCTGCCGAGAAAGGGATAGGGTAAGGGGCCAGGAGGGCTCTGGCCTCTGACCACCCTCCCACACCCTCAAGGGGCACCTGAGCACCCAGAGCCCCTGTGGTGCCTGGCTCTGCCCACCACTCAGCAGCAGCTCCACATCCAGGGGGTCTTTCTGAGAGGGCCCAAGCAATCCCTGCAGACCACCGCCCCCCCCTCCCCGCCCCCACACACACCCGTGCCCTGTTGCTGAACCAGCAACTAGGCCCTTGAGGACAGAGGTCAGTGTCCTCCCTGGTGATAGGGAGTATGCTGGGTTAAGGGGGCATGCTGCCTACTTCTGTTTGTGGTGGTTTTTATAATGGTGAGAGAAATAAAACTGACAACACCCAGTGGAGCCCAGGAAGACAAATTCTGGAGAAGGAGCGGGCGGGAGAGGCAGGAAAGGAGAGAAGAGCCGGAGGAGAGGGCTGAACGGGCTGAGACAGAGGGGGCCGGATCAAGGAGAGCCAGAGACCAGGTGAAGGATGCGCTCAGGAGAGAGGAGGAAGAGGAGGAGAGGAGGGGGAAGAAAAAGGCAGCGGGAGAGAGAAGATGAGGAAGAGGAAGAGAGAGGAGGAGGAGGGAGGACAGGGGCCCAGCAGAGAATGAGACAGAGAGGGAGAGAGGGTTTGGGGAGAACAAGGCACCCTGCGAACCAAGCCTGTGAGGGGGGCCCAGCGGGACCCGGCTGGCGGCAGGAGCTGGTGCAGGGAGAGGAGAGGGCCGATGCGACAGGGGTTCACGTACTACTGGACGAGGATCTTCACCAGGTTGATGTGGCCGCAGGTGGCCGCAGCGTGCAGGGGCGTCCACAGCTCATTGTCCTTAGCATTCACATTGGCACCATGGGACAGGAGCAGCTTCACGATTTCCTCAAAGTTGTCAATGCAGCACTGTGAGGGGCACACAGCAGGGCCCCTCAGGGCAGGGCCCCACCACCCACCTGGGAGACATCCATCCCCCAGGAAGCAGCCACCAGCAAGGAGGCTGCCGGGGCTTCCTTGCAGTGTGACCAGGGGCAAGTCATTTAACCTCCAGAGTAAGAGGGAGGTAAACAGCATACAAGATAAAAACCTAAAGGTGCCCAACACTGCTGAGTATAAAGCAATCGCTAGTCGGACAGGATATTTTGAATAAGACGTTAAACCTTATTTTTTTAAACCCCAGAAGCTTTTCTCCAAAACTTATAGCGAGAACACACAAAACACAACCCAAACCCACCCCCATGAAATCCAAGATTCTTCATGGGAGCTAGCGGCCTCATCTCTCTCCTGCAGAGTGGCTGGTGGATTTGAACTGCTGACCTCATGGTTGACAGCCCAATGCCTATCCCCTAGAACCACCAGGGCTCCTTGAACAGGCAGGACAGCTTGGGCTGAAGCCTAGGTGGGTGGGTGTGTGTGTCTGGGGGGGTAGGGTTCACCAGGGCTCCTTGAACAGGCAGGACAGCTTGGGCTGAAGCCTGTGTGTGTGTGTGTGTGTGTGTGTGTGTGTGTGT